AGAACACCCAAACACCAGCCATTATTGTCAGAACCATCTGAACATCAGGGATCATTGCTCTAAGTAAAACATCTATCTCAGTTTCCCCCAATATCTGAAAGGACCACTGGTTCCATTTACTACAGACCTGTGACATGGGAATGTATTTCCTACTGTGGAGACCAACTTACAGACTATTATTCTAAAAGTATGCCAAGTAACTTAAGCTTTAATGTTTTGTTCTCTTTTTGTTGTTGTTTTGTTTTGCTTTTTTGTTTTTTGTTTGGTGGTTGGTTTTTTGTTTTCTTTTGTTTTTTTTTGTTTTTTTTTTTTTTGTTTTTTTTTTTTTTTTTGTCAGGGGTTTTTTTTTTTTTTTTTTTTTTTTTTGAGACAGGGTTTCTTTGTATAACTCTGGCTGTCCTGGCACTAGCTCTGTAGACCAGGCTGGTCTCAAACTCACAGAGATCCTCCTGCTTCTGCCTCCCAAGCACTAGGATTTCAGGCGTGTGCCACCACTGCCTGGCTCATGTGTTGTTCTTTAAAAAGTATCTTTCCTTTTAACTATTTAGAATTTCTAGAAAGAGAATTCGATTTTAACTTTATTTTCAAAATATTAAAACTGTCTAACCAACATTAATGTGTGTGTGTGTGTGTGTGTGTGTGTGTGTGTGTGTGTGTGTGTTGTACCTAATTTTACCTGTGCATACGTGCATGCACGTGAGTGAGCATGTATGCGGAGGCCAGGGGTCAATGTCAGCTGTCCTACTCTATTGTTCTCTAACTTACTTTTTAGTAATGAGTGTAGACCTACATCCTCATTTCAAAAATGTATTAGATTTATTTATATGTGTATTACATGTTACAGTGCATGTGGAAGTCACAGGACAACTTCTGGGAGTTGGTTCTCTCCTTCCACCATCTGGGTCCCAGATAGCAAACTTCTGTCATAAGGCAATCACTTCTACTTCTCAAGCAGTCTTGCTGGGCCCTTCACCGTTCATTTTTGAGACAAGGTTTCTCACTGACCCTGGAGCTCATCAATCCAGCCAGGTTGGCTGAGCAGCAAATTCTGGGTATCTGCCTGATTGCACTCCCACAGCAGGAAGAGGAGGAGCTACACCATTATACTTTTTACACAGCAATTAAGGAACTTAACTTGGGGCCTTAGGCTTTCTCTTCAACCCATGACTAATATTAATTCTATGAGACTAACAAATTTCTCATTGTGTTTTAATTTCTCCTACACACATGCTCTTAAAAGGTATGTGTTGTACCTACTGATTTCTATGCCACAAATTGCCAAGAATAACCAAAGAACCACCCAGATGTAAATGGCAGGTGAATAATAAAAAGCAGAAGAATAAAATAATGACCTGGACATTTTCAGATGCTCAGCACCAGAAAGGCTGTCTGACCCCTTCCTCGTTTTCTAAAGTAATCATGCTGATAAGTGTATTTAGATTAGTAGCCCCATGATAATGAACACTTGCACTCATTCATATCTATGCAAATGACAAGATCATTTTGTCATAATCAAGTAATCTGTGCAGCCTCCTTTTTTGTTTGCTTTTTTGTTTTGTTTTTGCAACTTGTCACAAGCATAAAACACCAACGGCTTCATTACAAAATTCCTTAAAAGCAACTTTTTCAGGGCTGGGAATCAAACCCAGGTTTTCTTGTACACACAGATAGCAGTTTTTGTCTTTTATTTATCAATAAGTTTGGAGCCAGGGCCAATATCCAGATTAAGCCTCCAAATATGAGGATTTGACTTTGGCATGGTTCCACTTTAAAACATACAAAATCTTAAGCAAACTCTTTATATAAAGCTCGTTTTATCTTGATTCACATGTATCTCTCTCTCTCTCTCTCTCTCTCTCTCTCTCTCTCTCTCTCTCTCTCTGTGTGTGTGTGTGGTGTGTGATGCTCACATGTGTATAGATCCCAGTGGAGGTCAGACAAGGGCACTGAATTCCTTGGAGCTATCTTACAGGTGGTTGGGAGCCTCCTAGTATGGGTTCTGGGAACTAACACCAGTCTTCTTTACAAGCAGCGAGTGCCCAGCCATCTCTCCAGCCCCTGAGTTCCACTTTTAAAGTTCCACTCTATAAAATTACAAAGATCAACAAGACACAGAAACATCATGCCTTTATTAGAAAGCTTGGTCCTCTATTGGGAAGTCAAGAAACCCCTGAGGCAGAATGTGGTGGTGCTGGCAGGTAAACTGTATTTCTCAGGGGGCTACAAAGACAGGGGATGATGGACAGGTGGAAACAGATGAAGGAAGGAAAGGAAGGAACTTTGTGAGCAAAAGTTAAATAATTAGCAAGTGACTTATTTTTGCCATAGCTCATCATTTATGCAATTGTCTTATGCAATCTTATTGTATTTGTCATTTAGAAATGAAACACTGTACAGCCATGCACAAGCAATAAAAATGCAGGCATTTACCAAAAACCAAGGTCTTATTCCTGAGGTAAGGAATGGTTATTTACTTCTTCAGAGCTATGATCCATAAGGAAAGGTGTGTCTCTTCGCATAGAGACCAGTTGTTCCCTCCTTTCTTAGACAGGCACACAATAATGAATGGCAAAACTGAAGAACAGAAAACAGTAAAGAAAACTAAAGCTGCATTAAAAAAGGAGAAAAATGAGCTGGACATGGTGGCATGCATCCATAAAACCAGCATTTGGGAAGTGGGCAGGAGACTCAAGAGTTCAAGGTCAGCACTGGTTACATAGGGAGCTCAAAGTCAGTCTGGACCACAGGAGACTTTATTTCCAAGGAACAAAAGAAAGTACAAAACAAGTCACCTAAAAATATACAAGTTTAGATACTCTTTAAGGACATAAGCAAGAAATGAAGATCAGCCTGCCAGTGTGCAGAAATGACAGTAGCAGTCATTAAGACATCACCATCTAGATTTCTTTATGAATTCAAGGATGAAGACTTGATAGGTGGTATTTCTATTCTATTCCTATTCTTATTCCAGCAGAAGAGGGAGAGTCAGTCTTGCTACTACATGACAAAAGATGACTTTAAAAATGTTATGATCTTATATTTAGAAAGGAAAATCACTAGAAAAATTTTTAATTGTGGTAAGACAGTATGAGGAGCAATTTAACCTCTATCTAGCAAATTAATGTTACAACATAACATACAGTGTAACAAACAGAAACATATTCATTGTATAATCTGTAAGGTATTCTCTTGTATTTCATGTTGGTATCATATGCTGTGCTGAGGTAGAAACCGTTGTCTTTAGACCATAGACAAGGAAATTCGGGCTTGGGCAAGAACCTGTGTTATCACTTTGTTCAACTAGTGGTGTGGGCTCTGAGTCTGCTGACACTTACTGGGTCTAGTGCTCAGTCAACAATGCCAGGATGATGAGCTAGGACAAGATAGCACAGGAAACAAAGTGTTTTTATTTTTTAAATATTAATGGGCATTTCCTGAGTTATCAACTCAAGTCTTTCCTATTAATATGGAAGAAACAGACTTAGAAAGCAAGTCAATTGGAATGACTAAACAGTGACTTAAAAAACAAAATAAATACATGTCCTTAACAGACAGACATCACCAGCTATATATCTCCATGGAGCCACAATAGTCTATGCACAAGAACAGGACAACACTATACTTTAGATCACCCAACAGTCTATAATTCATCATGAACCCAACTTACTTTCTGTCTTCCTGCTGTTTATCAGTTTATTTTCCAACTCTTCCAGCATGCAATGCTCAGTTCTGAAGTCACCTCTTTGGTTGTAGAAATGACTGTGTTTATCTTTTTCTATGACAATAACTCTTTAGGAAAAGAAACAAATGGTACAAACACAATTTAAATATATTTTAGTTGTTTAATATATAAAGACACTCAAAATAATTAGTACTTTACATTCAATTCATTAAAAAAGAAGAGGGTGATTACTTAGACTACTAAGATTAAGGGGTCAAAATATCAGCTAATATTTGCTAAAATTGGACTTACTAGTTAAGTTCAATTTTAACCAACTATAATTTGAACTGTTACATACTTCCTTTGAAAATACAGAAGCCTTTGGCTATGAGGTTCTAGTTGTCAGTTACTGTCCTCAAGTAAAACAAACAAAATGAAATATACTACACCAAGGAGGCTTTATTTTTTTAAGTTGTCAAAGAAATAAATTTTCTAATGTTTGCTTCCTTCTCCCACAAGGTAAATAAGAATATTTACCCTCTAATCTTGAATCTAATATGCAGCAGGATTTCTCTAGCCAGTGGGGTCATTGCACATAATCTGAGAGGCAATGCTTTTTTTTTTCTTTTGCAGTAGGCAGAGATTTATAGAGACCCACAAGTGAACAACATGAAGAGATTAAGAAACTGTAGAGTGCGCAGATGCAAATGGAACATCAGATTAACAACACATTTCCCAAGGCTCAAGGATCACTGAGGAAGATGTAGAGGGGCAAGATTATAAGCACTATCCCCTAAAATGAGATTGATGACTTCTCTTTATGTCATCCTAGAGCCCTCACCCAGTGGCTGAAGGAAGCAGAGGCAGACATCCACAGATATACACTGAGCCGAAATCGGGAAT